AAACAGTTATTTTGAGTAAGGCACTGTGGAGGTTGCTGTTAAACCTTCAAATATGTGTTTCAATTGTAATACCCATAGAGTTCATGAAGATAAAATGCCATGGGAATGGCTATGGAAAGAGGGGACATCAAAGGCACAGATACAAAGGGAAAATGGACTCAGGAGGGTTAAACTGCAATGGGCGGATGAAGGAGGGTGGGGAAGGGAGAAGGAAAAGAGATAAATAAAACAAAAGACCCTTTGAAAAAGACATGAAAATTTACTACACTTAAAGTCACAAATATTACATACACTCACACACAGAGAGACACAAATGTGCACATAGAAAGGGGGATATAGAGAGAGATAAAGAATTAACATGGAGGTACTCTGAAACAGAACAACAATGCTTGCTCCTACTGGACACCAGTGGGAAACAAATAAGACTCTGTGTCATGTATAGTTACTTCTTTGGAGTTCTTGCCAATTAGGTCCCAGAAATCCTTCAAACATTACACTGTATTACTGCTGCTCTTAGTAGAACTTGATGGCTAGGCCCTATTGCTGAAGACACCATATGCTTGAGTCACACAGCATGGCAAAATCAAAGTGGTAAAGAAGTACATGCTTATCCATACTGACTTGCTTTCATAGTGCTGGAAGGCGCTATGCAAGCCACTGAAGAGTCAGGTAATTATCAGTTATGCCCAACTACAAACATTCCAAGCTACAATAATGACTGACCTGGCAAGACCTGCACACTGGCACAACAGTAGCACAAATACAATGGGAGTAAGCAACCACTTCCCAATTATATCTAAGTGCCTCTCTACAGCATGAAAAAAAAAAATCTGACACCATTATCAGACTAAGAACTTCAGGATAGACAGGTCATGGGGCTTAGGGAAGAATGAATGACTATTATGCTGCTAAGTGGACATAGAATTAAAATGACTTAAAATAACTTACCATTATACCCATAGATCAATGAAGTTCCCATCCCTCAACCTAGATGCTTCTAATTCAAGTAGATTGTAATTGGCATGGTGATATTTATCTGCCCAAGGTGTAAAAAATAAGTGACTGGGAATTCAAAGTCTTAAAGCAACATATATAGCTCAATCCCTTCTTAAGTCTTGGGGACCGTTGTGGAAAATGTGGCGGGAAGAGCATAAAATGCAGAGCATAAATGCTGTGTTCTCCCACTCCAAATTCCATAAGGCGCATCCCTAGTGCTGCAGCAGATCACCAGCTGAAGCCCCAATTCCTCCTGCCCACATCTCCCATTGAAGTTCCAAAATTCAACTGACCCTCTAGCAACAAAAATCAGTCATATTAATGAATTCCTAGACATTTCACTTCTCACTATTCCTAATCTCTAAGTGTTCTTTTTATTTTGCACACATATTCATATGAATGTGTACATGTGTGTGGGGGGTGCAAAGCTCATGAGGGGGCCAGAGAATAACTTTGGGTGTCATTCCTCAGGTGTCATCCTGAGATTTGATTAAGGAATACAGATCACAGTGTATGCTACCTGGAGCAGATCCTATTCACATCCAAAGCATCCTTCCCCTGTTTTATACCTCTGAACAAAATCACCAAGCTTGGTTAAAAGTCAAACTTAAGAAAAGCCAACATCTAGATGCTTTCATAACCAAATATTTCAAAGTCTTGGCAAAAGGAACAAATTATTTGAAAAGAATAATGCTAAAAGATAAACTAATTGTGAAGGTTTAATTAGTTAGTGAGCTACTTAGTTATTTAGTTAGTTAGTTAATATGATTTTATTTTCACTATGTAGCCTAGGCAGGCTCATAACTCATGGTCCTTGTCCTGGTTGGCTTTTATTCAATATGACACAAACTGAGGTTATTTTGGAAGAGGAACTTTAATTAAGGGGAATTTGCTTGATTAATCATTTATGAGGGAGAGCCTAGCTCATTGTGGAGCTGTACTATTTTTCTAAGCAGGTGGTAAACCAGTGTGTAAGAAATCAAACAGAATTTTTAGATGCCTGTTGCTTTTCTGATGAGAGAGAGAAAAAAACAAAAGGTGTGTGTGTGTGTGTGTGTGTGTGTGTGTGTGTGTGTGTAAATGGGAGGGGAAGATCTGGAAGAATTAGGGACAAGGGAATCATAATCAAAATATATTGTATGAAAATATATTTCCAATTAAAAAACGGAAAGGAATAAAGAAAGAGAAATGAAGAAAGTAGGAAGAACAAGCCAGTAAGCAGTATTCCTCCAGGGTCTCTATTTGAGTTCCTATGTCTAGGCTTCTACCTGGAGTTCCTGAATGACTTGCCTGCATGATGGAATGTGAACTGCACCTGTAAACCAAATAAACCTTTTCCTCCTCTAGACTGGAAGGAGTTGCAGGACTGTCTTCCCAGCACTGGGCAGTGGAGGCAGGATTAGGTGTTCAATGCGATTCTCAATTCCATAGCACAAAGCAAGCTTACAATATAGGACACATTGCTCTAAGAAGAAATAAACAATCAACAGCACTTGACAGAGAAGAAATAAAACTAGTAATGATGTAGATACATTGGAAAACAAAAACAAATAAGAGCATTAACATGCATAAAGCAAGTGTTTAAAAATGATACCTATAAGTGACTTTTTAAATGATAAAAATAATGTATTTTTAAGATTAATAACCTTAGCATTATTGACCTTGAAAACAGTAGACCCTTCTCTAATAGATGGAAGGCCATTAATAAGAGACGATTGATCTTACTCATGTGCACATGCTGGCACACAGAATTACAGACAAGAACCTGTTTCTCAAACCTGTAAGCTGACCTAAATGTTTTAAGCAGGATTGAACATAACTGCATAGGAGAGTTCCCTAATTGGAAATTCAATATTCATTGGCTCAAGGTAATTTTCTCAAATTGTACACCCACCAGTCTCGTCTGTCCTCATTCACATGACATGAATTAATAAATGCTGGGAAATTACAAATTCACTCCTCCTGCACAATCAGGTCCTTTTTCATATGGCAACTCCAGCAGCTGACTGCCTACCCTGTCTCCCCTGCCGTGTATACAATAAACTATGCCTCCTACTCTGGTCTGAAGGCAGAAGCCATGCCCCACATGCAAATCATCTTCTTGTAACTGCAATGGACAGTCAATTACATGAATTTAATTTTAAAACTCTAAGGTGATACAGTCATTTAAGAATTTTGGAGATGGAATATAGAGGACAACAAGGCCCTGGAGTGCAACAGTTTAAAATGACGGCCACTTGAGTCAATAGAAGTGAACTTGTCTCAGAAACATTTTACTAAAAAGATGGAAATGCAGCTGTTCTAAAATTAATATGCCTTCCCAGGGAGAAATCACTTCACACATTTAGGAGATTAATGAAGAAAAATCTCTTTGTTGATAGCATGCATCCATTTCTGCGTAATGCTCAAAGAGGAGCCAGCCTAGGCAGACTTTGCATTCCACACATGGTGTTATCCTTAAGTTTCTTTTAGGTTCATGCTCCAGGTTACACTTTGAACAATTTAAATAGGGAAAGGAAACTGCAAGTCTAGCCACTTAGGCAGATGGGAGAGTCACACACCAAAGATATTACCTGATACACATGTCATTCTTCAGTGACAGGGTCCTGAGGTGAAGGTGCAAGAGAATGAGAAAAATAGAACAAGCAGAAGATAGAAAAGACAAAAGATGGGGTGGGAAGGTCTTGCACAAGCTATGTCTCATGCCAAGTAAACTTCTTAAGAAGAATAGCTTTTTGTATACTACTTCCAGGGGGGGAATGGAAGGAAATGGGGGAATTTCTATGAAGTCAGCAGAAACTACCACACTATGGGACAAATTCAGGAGAAGGCTAATCAAAGAATGTTGCACAAAGGGCACACAGGGCATCTCAAGAACATTACTAAGCCCACGGTGGCCTTGGGACTGATAACCACAGCTCCAGATGGTGGGAAGTGTTGGGTTCTCAGGGTCAGAAGCAGCCCCTCCACTAAGGCCCTGGACCAGACCATTACCAGCTCTATATTCCTGATTTTAGAGAAGGAACTCCGTTTTATTCTCAGTACATCAAGGCCTTGGGGAAAGCTCCCAGGCCTAAGTCCCAGGCTGTTACTCTTCCAAGAATGCTCCTCCTCCCTGCCTGAGGGCCTATATAAAAGCCTTGCTTGACCATGCCAGTCCTTAACACTGTTTTACTTTTCAAATACTTGTCACCTGGTGTCATATTGCACATCTCTTAGAACTATGCTTTTCTCAAGAAAAAAACTGGAACTTTAATGCACACCAGGACTTAAGGTAGATTGTGACCCTATACTGCCTCCTTAAGCAGCTTGTTAGGGGACTGTTCTTTCATACAGTGATGGGCCAAGTGGCTGGCTCTAATTTAGGGATGTCTTATTTGTAATGGTTTGGAGCCAAATGTCTGGATAATCCTGGTGAAAAAAAAAAATGTGTATCCTAGCATCCTTATCTCTACTAGGCCTGGTTAACATACACTTATCTTTGGGGTGTTTTAGAAGCAGTCCCTCCTTAGCTAAATTCTACTTTGTAAGACTTACATCTACTAAGCATTAGTAAATTCTTTATATCACCAATTCTACTCTTCTACATCACAGTTAAGTAATGGAGTGCTACCCAACACAACAGATGCCTTTTACAACCTCCACAAAATTAACTGAAAGTGGATCTTATATGTAAAGGTTAAATGCAAAGTGCTGAACGTCTGGAAGACACTGGAGAATGTAGGCCTCTCCAAGTTTGGCAACCTGCCTTGCAAGGATGCACCAAAAGCACGTTGTTGCTCACTACAAATGTTTCTACACACAGTTCCCTGCCCCTAATGCTCTGAGCAGATGCAGCCCACAGAACAAAGTTATTCCAAGGCCTGTGCCTGGGTCCAGGGAGTTGCACTGACGGCTTGGGAACTCACCGGACAGGCCCCCTCCCCCGGGCACCCCCCGCCACACCGGCTCCCGCACCTCCCCATCCACTCTTGCTCATCTGGGGGCAGCAGCCCCTCGCTCACCATGTTGTGGCCTCCCAGCTCGCCCATGGTCCCCTCACAGCTCCCTGACTCGCAGCACAGCGGCGCAGGCTGTTCCGCGAAGCCAAGCAGGCAACCTGGCTCCCGGAAGTGCTCCGCACCACTTCTGACTGACAGTTCGGCCTGGAGACCCTGATTGGCTAGTGATGAAAGCACCTCCCTTAGGATTAGAGTGTGCTTAAAGGCACAGCACAATGGTTTCGATCTTGCCTTCTACCCCAGATCCAGACCGTTTCCACGTCTGCAGAGATATGCATTTTAATAGCACTTGCCCCTGCCTCCAATTGCTGACCCTGCTATCTTCCTGAACATAGGCTCTTTCCCATTCTAACTCCTGGACACATTGTGACTAGCTTGCACAGCCCTGTGCTCGAGTGGAGTGGAGTGATTTCCTGTTCCACGGTGAAAGGGTGCCCAACATATTCACAGTTTTAAAGAGAGATTTAAATACACAAAAGAAATGCTTGTTCTCTGGCTTCACGCTTAGATTAGGTGAACTGAAGGTACTTTTTACCTGTGAGTCACAGGTACTTCAGCAAACCAGAAGAAAAATGCAGGAACCAGGTAAGAAAACAAAATAATAGATCTGTCTCCTACCAGAAGGCTAGATGATGGCTCCATTGCATCCTAAGTTTTCTTCCAGAATTCAGGGCAATCTCTTGACAAATGAACAATAAAAAGAGCAGTATTCATGGTAAGATGAATACTTAGACAATGGAGCAGGGAAGAATGTTTTATTATTATTATTATTATTATTATTATTATTATTATTATTGAACTTTATGTACAAAATCATTTGATTTCAAATAAACATTTAATGTAAAAAACAAACGTTTCTTTTAAACTGAATTTTTTTACATCTATTGTACCATTCAAATGCTTTATCAGCCGGGCGTTGGTGGCGCATGCCTTTAATCCCAGCACTCGGGAGGCAAAGGCAGGCAGATCTCCAGAGCAAGTGCCAAGATGGGCTCCAAAGCTACACAGAGAAACCCTGTCTTGAAAAGCCAAAAAAAAAATGGCAAATGCTTTATCACCTTACATGATTTCTTCAAAATCTGTTATCAAGGATACATATACAAAAGGTTTTTTTTATAAATAGAACAAAGGGATTTTTTCAGCTTTTTTTATAAGATGACATAAAAAGTTTACTCAACAGAAGTAATTTCATTACTATTCAAGGGAGGGAAATTACTATTCAGGGGAGGGAAATCACCAAATTTTTTTTTGTGTGTGTGCAAACAATGCTAGCCTTCTTTTAAGCATTAAGAGCATAACTGCTTAAGAAATGACATAAGCAATAATTTCTTTATGCATACTATTGTTAGCCAGCATACCTTCCTCAGTGGGAAGAAGAAGAAGAAGAAGAAGAAGAAGAAGAAGAAGAAGAAGAAGAAGAAGAAGAAGAAGAAAACAAGCTGCATTGCTCAATGTTCTCTACATCAACAGGGCTGGTAAAAGTCAATCTGCCCATGTATGTAGAAACTGGAATGTCTCACAAGCTGTGGTCCAGGTAGTCCAACAATGGCTGTCTACCAGTGGAAGTTTAAAGAATCCAATAGTTGTTTAGTCCATGAGACTGGATGTCTCAGCTGGTCTTCAGTATACACTAAAATTCCAAAGAAGTTTGCTCTAATGATAGATTATAAAGGAATGAACTTGGTAGCCAGAGTTAGAGCAAGTAGGCAAAGAAAGAGAGCTTCCTTCCTCAATATCCTTTATATGTGTAGGTTCCTATCAGAAGGTGTGATTTGGATTACAGATGGATCTTATTCTTTGCTTGATTGTTTTTTGGTGTCTTTGAGACAGGGTTTATCTGTGTAGTCCTGGAACTTATTCTGTACACCAGGCTAGCCTCAAACTCAGAAAAGTCGACTGTCTCTGTCTCCTGAGTTTTGGGATTAATGGTATGTACTGCCACCTGGATGCTGAAGGTAGATCTCATCACCTCAAATAATCCAGATTAAAGATGGGTCTTTAATTTCAAAACCTTAAGAATTCCCTCATGGGTGTACCCAGCTACTTGTGTTTTATCTAATTCCAGTGTTAATCAGTTTGACTACCAATAAGAGCCATCACTATAGCCAAGACAGAGAGCTGAGAAAGATTTCTTACCTGCAGGAGGCAAGGAGAGCATGAGAGTCATTTCCAAAACAATGTTTTTCCTAAACAAAGGATGCATGGTGCTTTTACTTAGGGAGTCTGGACACATTCATGCAGAGTGCTACCTATTCCTAAGCATGCTCAGTTAACAAATCCAGTTCTGAACAGGAACACAATGTAAAAGCAAGGACATTTAGGGACATTCTTACCTTGAAGTCTTGCATGAATGGAAATAATGGGGAAAAAATGCCTCTGGCATGTTAATCTTGTACCAAAAGTTCTTAGCTGAAAATCAAGTAAATGACACTGTGAAAGTAGAGTAATTTGGAGCCCATGCTACATGTCAATCTTTATGTTTGATCTAAAAGATAGCTGTACCAATGCCAAAATTCTAACAGATACAAATGATAGAGATCACAAATTCAGAAAACATCAAGCAAAAGTCACCTAACAGCACTGTATACTCTGCTCTTAGATGAATGGTTATGTTGAGCTCTATTAACCTCAGAACAAAGCTGCTTTTGCCTCTGAGCAGGCTGGCTCACAGGAAGGCCACAGCCATGCAAGAACAGAAGGAGTTCATTTTAACTAGACCTAACTGCTCTCTGTCTCAGGGCTGTGATATCACTGTAGGAAATTCCATTTATGGTGAAACCCACAGAAACAGCTGACCTGAACACTGGGGAACTCTTGCTCCCCAGACTGATCCAGACCCCAGGAACATAGGTTTTTGTGAAGAAACCATGGAAATCTACGGGACCTACTGTAGAAGTTCAGTACTTATCCCTAGCATAGGTGTGGACTTCAGGAGCTCATTCCATATAGAGGAATACTCCCTGAGCCAAGACACACAGGGGTAGGCCTAGGCCCTATCCCAAAGGATACAATAGACACTGATGACACCCTATGGAAGGCCTCACCATCCAGGGGGAGCAGAAAAGATATGTGATAGATAGGGTTTTAGTTGGGGGGGGGTGGTAGGGGAGGACGGGTGGGAGAAGAACTGGGACTGTAATGTAAATCAATCCTGTTTCTAATTCAAATAAAGAAAGTTGGAAAAAAAGAAAATTCCATTTATTTCTTTTTTAACATTTTTGTAAATTTTAGTTATGTGGTGTATTTTTCTTAATGTGTCTGTGAACAGTGCCTACAGGGCTAGAAGAAGGCATGAGGCACTAGGACTAGAGTTACAGCAAATGGTTAGGTACAATGTGGGTTCTGTGATAGGAACCTGGATCCTCTTTAACAACACCCAGTGCTCTTTCTTATCTGCTGAACCATCTCTCTAGCCCCTCTTTTTTATTAAATTTTTCTATATATTTTAATTAAAACATATTATATCAATTTCCTTTCCACATACTTCTCTTCCAACTTCTTCCTTGCTAAGTGTGTATAAATACATATACTAAAATTAGGACTATACCCTGATGAGTCCATTTTGTTATTTGTATGTATGTGGTTTAAGGGCTGTCAATGTTGTACTTAGGGAACTCATTCCTGCCTGAAGATAATTCTCTCACCTGAAGGAGAATTTCACTTTTTAATCAGCAACAGGTATCTGAGCCTGACTAGGCTGCCTTACACAGGAAACATAATCAAGAACAGAAAACTTGGATTGGAAAATATTTAGCAGTTAAGAGTACTGAAGAATCTTCCAAAGTACCCAGCTTCCATTTCCAGTACATACAGAAGCTTACTACTGTCTGTAACTCCAGTTCTAGGTGTTCTGAGACCATGTCCTGGCCTCCCTGGTCAGCAGGTATGAATGGGGTACAAAGACATGCATAAAGGAAAAAAACACATATGCATAAAATAATGACTGAAATTATATTTGTTTAAAAAAAGTCACAACAACAAAAAACTGTAAGAAGAGATGACTTGGAACATTAAACTTATTCTTCAAACTGTGTGTGGCTGTATATTCTTTTAATACAAAACTCCAGACACAGAGGCAAGAAGATAACTATAAGTTTTAAAACATGTGTTACATAGACAACATCAATACACACATATACCATACACACAGTGTTTTAAAAAAGCAACAAAAATTGAATAATAAAGAGCACAGGAGGTTAGGGGCAATATCTCTTAAAGTTATTTCAGGGGTCAGCCACTGGTCCCTGTCAAATTAGTTTCAGAAATGAATATATCTGAGCATAGTAGAAGAACCAGATCAATAACAAATTCAAGCCTGCTTAGCCTATATAGTGAGTATATAGTAAGACCTGTCTAAATAGCAAACAATAACACACACACACACACACACACACACACAACTATAACTGTGCTTTGTTGCTTGAGAAAGGATTTCATTATAAAGTTCCAGCTGGCCTGGAACTCATTATGTATAGTTTAATGAGTGTGTGTGTGTGTGTGTGTGTGTGTGTGTGTGTGTGTGTGTCTATATATTGAATCTTTTAAAATGAATTATAGTAAATATTTAATTCTATACCATTAGCTCACTATTCAAAGCATGACACTTTTCTATACAAGAGGGAGTTTCCAAGCAATTCTCTTCATATTTATTTATATTTGAAGAGAACTGGAAGTGGGGGAAATTTTACAATATTTACATGCCTATAGGTTGTTTTCCTTTCATCCAATCATTCTATGAAATCAACAGTAATCTTTTCTTGAACTCTTTCTATTTCATAATCATTTTAACTAGTTTGTTTGTAAATTGAGTTGTTTGCACATTTTATGTTAATGTTAAGACTCAAACTATGGAAGATGAAACAATGCCTATTAAAGTAAATATCCAGCTAACAATAAACCAATGATTTTTTAAGAATGTCTTTCTATTCTAGCAGATGCAGAGATCCACAGCCAACCACTGGGCCAATTTGCCAAGAGCCCTGTTAAAGAGAGTAAGGAAGAATTGTGCAAGTAAGGGGGTGGGCAAGGTTATGACAGGGGAACCCACAGAAACAGGTGACCTGGGCTCATGGGAGCTTATGGACTCTGGACCCACAGCTAAGCAGACTGCATGTGACCAACCTAGGCCCTCTGCATGTGTGTGCCAGTTGTGTAGCTTGATATGTTTGTGGGGCTCCTGGCAGTGAAATCAGGACCTGTCCCTGATGCTTGAACTGGCTTTTGGGAACCTATTT